CCTTACCAGCATTTCAGAGCATGTCCTCAGATTTGGAGGGGGGCTGTCAGAAAGCAGCCCCATGCAGGGCAGGCACTGCATTCCTCTGGTACCTGAAAGCAGGGAATGACCATTGGCCCCAAATAGGTCCTGAGGCTGGAGTCTGATAGAGACATAGCTGAAAGGCATCAGACAAGACTTTACTTGCTCCACCTCCACTCCTGCTGTCCTGCAAGGGGCCTGCTGTCTGTCCTCCCCCACTGCTGGGGCTTGGGACTGGGGCAGGAACTTTTCCAACACAAATATTTTAACTGACCTCTCAGTCATGAGTCTCTGGCATCCACAGGACCTCAGTGGCTCAGTGCTGTGGAGGAGAAGATCCTGGTGCCCTGCTCACTTCTGGCATACCAGAGCACACCTCTGTGCCAGAGCACACCTTCCACTGGGAGAGACAAGCAAGTGACATGGGGAGTACTGAGACCTAGGGGGAGCACAGGATAACATTTTAAGGTCTCTCACCTACCCAAGTGTTAATGTGCTTTGGGAGAGATGGGGAATGAGGGCTTCTGCCCACGCACAAGTTGTTTGCTTTCAATGTTGCCCCTCTAAGACATCACTTAATATGACATTAATTAGTGTTTGCAAAGTGCTTTGAACATGAAAAGGGCTGTATAAGTGCTGAATATTAGTATAAATTATTATGGCATGGAGGCTGGCCCTGTCTGAGGAGCATTCCCCACACCTAATTTCAGGCTGGTGCTGTTTCCCTGCCTCTCCTACTCTGTTGCCGCATCCACAAAAGCCAGATAGAGAAGGGCAGAAGCATCTGTACAGTATGAGGAAGGAACCCCTCATGGAGAGGTGCAGGAGGGCTGAGCCATGCACTCCCTTCACTCCAGGCAGGACACTGTGTGGGAAATGTAGCCACATCTCTGCACTGCCCCGCTGTCATGAGGGATGATGAGCGAGCACCCTCTTGGCCCAGGCTCTGCAGCAGGCAAGGAATGGAAACATCACAGGGAGGATGGAGAAGATGCAGGGGGATTCCTCCAGCTCATCCTACCCATGCCTGAGTGGAAGCACCCAGCACTGGTGGAGGTTTCAGAGCCATGCAAGGGGATGAGGAGGGGGGTGAGAAGGTTTTGGGGTCTCTGAGCTAGATGGGATAGGAGGGTGGCTGCATCCTAGACGTGCACGTGGCAGGGCTGGGAGCTCCCTGACGTCCCCCAGACAGGCGCCTGGCCTGCTTTGCTGCCTCTCCCCTCCTTGTGCCCTCCTTCTTGGTGAGGTTGCTCATGGGAAAGGTCCCTGGAGGAGGAGCAGAAGTGGGTCGTTGAGTTGCCCCAATTACCTTGGCAATGAAGTGTCCTGCCAGCTGGCCCATGAAATGTACAGGGCAAGTGTTAGGTGCTACCAGGGGCCCAGAGAAGAAGGGTGAGCTGGGGGAGGTTGTCCTGGAAGGGTCCAGGGAGGGCCAGAGTGGGGACCCACACATGCTGGCCAGTGGATACAGATGCTGAGCACCGGTATCAACCTGTGTGAGGTGCATTGGGTGGTGGGTAGGACCGTGGTGCTGTGATTGCACTGCAACACATCAGTGTCTGATGGGACACCTGGAGCCACATGTGCCTTCATCCTGCTTCCCCCCTGCTGCTGACAAATTAACTCCCCGGTCCCACCTGCTCATTCAGCCCGTGGTCTTACTTGCCTACCATGGGTCAGACCCTGGCCACGCTTCAGAGAAGCTTTGTCACTCAGGTGGCTGTCCTTCTGTGTCACCCCTCTGAGTTAGTGGTCACAGAATCTAATGGGGATTCTGGTCTGCTTCAGAAAGCCACTGAGGGTCTCATGCAAGTGAGAGCCCAGCGCAGGGTGAGGGGATCTCAGCTGGTTGGTGGTACCCCTGGTGCTGATGGTGAGCGAGAGGTGAGGGGACATGCCAGGAACCTAGTCCCTTTTGTGGGGATCTCACCTCCCTGTGCTGCTGCCACCTCACCCATTTCTGGGTCTGCACCTCCAACTGTAAGTAATCTCCCTGCTCTGGGCTCCTACGCTGAGCATTTCTACCAGACAGCCACTTCCCAGCTACTGAGGACATTGCCAGAAATCCCATGAGTGGCTGAACAAAACCTCAAAACAATGCTAGGCTCACTTTCTTTTTCCTTTTTGAGCCCTCCAGCCTGTGTGAATTCTCAGCTTGCTGGTAATTCTTGGCTTGCTGCCATAGATCCACTGTCTTCCAGTGGGAGTTGGGGCATCAGCCCTTGTGGTATCTCCACCCTGAGAAGAATGGAACAGGAGGGTAGATACCGGAAGCTAAACAGGGGCTGGAGCAGATGTTTTGGAGGGCAGCAGGGAAAGACCACGTGCGACTTGAATTTACCCACACTTACTTCAAAAAAAGTTGTGGCAAAGCCCTCTCCTCTTGCTTTGTCCATTCTCCTTGTATCTTGAAGGCCATCTTGAAGCAAGACCATCCACTGAATTGCCAATGAGGACAAAATTATCCACAATAGTTGATTCTCTTGCTGGGTTTTGAGGCACTCTTCTGGCACAGTGAGACAATAAATGCCCCCAATAAATCCACGTAAACGAGGACCAAGTTATAAAAAAAAAAATCTTTATTTCATGTACCAGGATTTTTTTTTTGTTATTTTCTCTTTTTAAAATTTTTTTTCTTTTTAACAGTCTGAAAAAAACCACGAGATAAAGAAAATGGAGGTTGGTTTCTTGTACTGGTTTGAGCTGGACATGAGCAACATCCTGGGGAAAAATCTTCCCCTCCAGCTCTTACCTCCTGCACACGCTCTCCCGGTGCGCTCCCTCACTCTCTCTTTCCCGTCTGGCCCTGGGGGCATACTCAGCCCTGTGAATGCTCCCCAGCTCCATGCAGTGTTGGGTGGGTGAGGGTCGCTGGGGATGGAAACCTCAACGCCGCCTTCCCTCTACACTGGGTTCTGGGGAACAGGCTTTAACTTATTCCATGGGGGGCATTGGAGGGGGTGGGATGTCCCCTCTGAGTCTTTTTTAAAGGATTGGAGGGCCATGGGAGGGGATGTCAGTGGTGGGGGGGGGGGATCTGAACACCCAGCCAAGGGGCTCCCATCCACCTCTTGCCCTGTGATGCTGTTTTGGGGGGTGATCCTGTCCTGCTGCTGCCCCCTGCTGTAGCCCAGAGCAGGGAAAGGGAGGTAAAGTATCAGTGGGTCGGTGGGGAGCAGGGAAGATCTGGCTGCTTTAAAGCAGAAACCCCACTGGGACCTGAAGCGAGGACTGTGCAGCTCCTAAAAGTGGAGCAGCAGGAATGGGGACGGAAAAAAAGTCGAAAAGTGGGTCTGAGTTGCTGAAGGGCTCGGCGGCCCCATCCTGCAATCCCTTGGCTTTGTGCCTGCCCAGAGCACTGCCACTTTTGGGTAGCAGCCCCAAAGGGGCCCTGTCCTTGCTCCGGGCTGGCCAGTGTCTCATGGGGTGTCACAGGGGTCCCCCTGCTCTCCCCTGCTGCCACTTCCCCTCCTGCCTCTGTCAGCAGCGACTATTGTGGGGGAGCTGGATTAAAAGCTGGCACCCCTGTGCCCTGTTCCCCCAGCATGGCAGGGACGGAGGGGGCGGCAGCCAGGCCAAGGATCCCAGGGCAGAATGGTGGGGACCCAGTTTGCCTTGCTGCTGTGGGGGAGACCATGGCAGCCATGGACCATCAGGAGAGGGGTGGGGAGAAGGACAAAACCCAGCAGGCATGGAAACACCCGATGGCTTCACACCTCTCCCTGGCATGGAGGCTGGGACGCGGGGGGCTCAGGCCGGGAGTAGGGCACTCTCTGGGATGGGGACTGGGAGGCTACATGAATCAGGACCAAGCAGCCTGCAGCTGACACTGGCTCAGGGTCGGCTGGCTTTGCCTAGGGGAGGACAGGAGCTATTTCAGGGGTCTGCTGGGTGGGCCTCACCACATCCCCACATGGCTGCAGCCCCACTGGTGGGATGTAAGATGGATCTGGAAAGATTTGGGCAGTGCATGGCCACCCTGGGGAGCCTCTGGAGCATTCACAGGAGAGCATGTGCACACCAGGGCACGAGTGTGTGAGCATGGGCACACATGTGCATGAGTGCTGCCCCCCCTGCAGTATCCCATGTGTGTCCCCCCCAGCATCAACATCCTGAAGGGATGGGAGCCCTGGTTCCCATCCACCAGCCCCCTCCCCTCTACCTGTGCCTCCCACACAGCTCCCCATTGCCTCTTTTCCTTTTTTTTTCACAGTTTAAAGCTGAAGAAAACAAAAATGAAAAGAAAAAATACTATCTGTTCTTCTTGCAAGTAAATCCACTTATTATATTTACATTTATTTATAGCTGTTTTTTCATTTAAAAAATTGCCACTTTTTTTTAAGAAACCTTTTTTGTCCTTTTTTTTTTTTTGTCTCTGTGTGTGTCTTTATTTACTGTGTCTGTTTGCTTTTTGCACTGTCACCATTGACCCCGGGGTCCCCCGGGCTGGGGAATTGGAGACCCCCCTGGGGACACTGTGGAAGGGTGACTCAGCATCAGCTCCTGCACTCCCTAGGGGCAGGAGTCACTCTAAACCCCTACAGACCTGTGGAGGACAAGCAGATCCCCACGGATCCCAGGGGAATGGATTGGATCCCCATGGATCTTGGGGGAACAGAGTGAGTCATGGTTGATTCTGGCATCCAGGATCCTCCATAACTGGCCCAAGGACACCGAAGTCATTGATGGCCGAGCCCTATGCCCTGTCCCCCAAGGAACCTGTGCTGGGTTAAAGATAAGTGGGAAACAAACCATAAAAGTAAAGAATAAAACCCCCCAAAATTCAAAGAGCTGCCTCCTCCTCCTCTTCCTCCCACTTGATTTATTGTCATTTGTTATTTCTTTGTTCCCTTTTATTTTTTTAATCTGTTTTTATTAAATGTTAAAATAATGGTACATGGGAAATCATGCATTTTCTTTTAAATTTATTTCTATTTTTTAAATCTCTTTCTCTCAGTTTTAAAGTTTTTCTTTTTTTCCCTTTTTTCTTTTGCTTTTTTTTTAAGAATTTTTTCACTGTTGTCTCTTTCCTCATGTTTCCTTTTCATTTGTCTGATTTTTTTGTTCACTCGCTTGTTTGTCTGCTTGTCTGCTTGTTCGTTGGTTGTTTTTTTATTTTTTTTTGTCAGTTTTTTGTTTGCTTTTGTTGTTTTTTTTTCTGTATTTTTTTATTTTTTTATTTTTTTGCATTGGGAAGGTCCCCACCCCACCAAGGGGCGCTTCCACCTCCTCCTTCCCACCCACCTGCTGCCCCCTGCCCCTTTCCACCCTCCCCACCCTGCAGCCCACCCCACCTCCTCCTGCCCATTCCTGCCCCATTTTCAGCTCCTGGCGACGGCTTCATACCGGGGTGGTCCGGCGGTTGGCTGTGTTGGTGTGGATAGAGTCCTTGTTCTCTTTCTGGATACAGTTGTGAACCTGGAGGAAACTGTTATCCCTGTCAGAGTTGTAGGTGGCGGTGGGGGTGGTGCTTGCCTTCAGCGGGTCCCTGGTGAGGGTGTACATCGAGATCTCTGTTGATGGGAGGGTGTTGAACCCTTTGATCCCGACGGGGGAGGCATCCCTGGAGTGTGAAGGCTCGGTGGAGCGGGAGCTGGAGCGACTGCGTCTCTGATAGCGGTACCGGTAGCTGGGGATGCGGGTGATGGCGGAGGACTGGAGGTAGTCCGTGGCACGAGCATTGGCGCGCAGCTGTTTGTGCCGGTCTATGAACATGTGGACAGCCAGCACTCCCACCATCTCGGCTATAATGAAGGACAGGGCCCCAAAATAGAAGGACCAGCCGTAGGAGTAGCTGTTCTTCTTGGAGTCACTCTTGGAGGGGTCTCCAGCGTTGGCTGATATGTATACAATGATGCCAATTATATTACTCAAACCTGCAGGGGAGAGAGAATGAGATACCAGGAGGGTCACACAGGGCAGTGGTAGAGGCATCGGGTTAAATCGCTGCTCCTGAGAGGCAGGGATGGGAGGGGCCCTAGTCACCCATCCCCTCCCGGTGGGCAGCTTTCCTTGCGAAAGTCTGGCAAAACTCTCCTCACGTGCCTGCCGCATCCCCGGACTGCACTCCCGGCTGGTCCCTGAGAGATGTCAGATGTAGGGAAACACACCCTCCATCAGCTCCCAAGCAGTTGGAAAGCCCCTGCCTGCAGGGCACTGCTGCCTGCCTCTGCCAGGCGAGCAGGGTGGGTGGAGAGGCATCCTTGGGAGGCTGCTTTCACCCTGAATAAGGCTCATCAGGGCTGGGAAATACACACACTTCTGCCTAGGCAACTGTACTCCGGCAGATACCCCAGCTGGGTAGCCCCCCATTCCCTGGAGCCCACCTCTGGGGCATTCAGCCTGTGCATCCCTTTACCTGCAGACACGAAGAAAATGCCAGCACTAAGGATGATGTTGTGTCGGGTTTTGTAGAACTCGCTGGCTGCAATGCAGAGTCCACCCATGAAAAGCAGAATCACACTCAGGATCGGGAAAATACTAGAGGCTCTAACAGCCCCTGCAGAGGAGAGAGGGAGGAGGGGAAGGGCAGAAAGAACAGCAAGTACGTTTTGTGAGTGGGGGTGAAGAGGAGAGACAGAGGGCAATGTGCGGTAGAGGAGTAATTTAAGGAGAGATGAAGGCATTGAAGGATGGAGGGAGGGAGAGAGAAACAGAGTGTGTCAGAAAAAGAGAGTGGTCCACAGCAACTTTCCCCTGCCTTGGCCACTGCTGCTGCCATGAAGCCAGTGGCCTGGCACAGGGGGCTGTGAGACTGGTGGCTGAGCTGGGAGCCCAACTGTGCTGTCTGTTCCCCTTCACACTGTCTTTTCCCCTGCTTTTGAGGGGACTGGAGGGGAAGCCCAGGCATCATTCAGCTTCTATTTCTGCAGGGCGCTGCTGCTTGAGCCTGCTCTTCAAAGAACAGCAACCCAAATGCTTCCTGCAGAGCTGCTCAATCTCGAATCCTCCTGAAAGGGCACGAGCATCTCAAGGAGAGGGTTTTTTTCAGTGCTGAGGAGCTCCTGGTGCTGTACACTGCTCTGCAGCTGCAGAGGACTGAAAAGCAAAAGTCCCAGCCCTGTGCACTGAAACGCGAGGCTTATCCTAGTGATTAAATGACTGGGATCCTTCCAGAGGGCAGTGATGGGTTTGGATGTGCCAGCTCCCACACACGCACACTCTCCATCGGTCGATATGGGAAAAGCTCAGCCAGCAGAGGGCAATGGCATAGATGCATGTATATGCTCATATGTGCATGCAAAACATACCCCAAAGCTTCTGGGGGGCCTCACTCATATTCACGCAGTGAAAGGCCAGGACTGTGCATACACACACCCAAGCACACATGCACGCATGCACACACTGCTCATGGGCAGTTCAGGGGGAGCCAACGGTTTGCTGGAGCTTGTGTTGTGAATATTCGTGTTTTTTTTTAACTAGGAAGGCCTTCTCTCCTCCCTTCACAAGAGAAAATAAGCTGTTAAAGTGTGAAATGAAGCCTTGCTTGATAAAGGAAGGTATCAGACGGGCTGGTGCAATTCTGCTTGTGGAGCAAAGATCTGTAAAGGGGGATGAAAGCTAATCCTTCCTTGCCTGCAAGAATGAACCCTACTGAAGCAAATGCAGGACTTTTTCCTAAGGGGACAGAGACCATGCTTCAAAGACCCTGTTGGCTCTGGATCCTACCAGGCACAAACAATTGGCTCTTTGAGGGGGGCCTAGCCCACTCCCTGTGCATGGGGAATGCAGAAGGCATGCCTGGCTGTGTGTCAGGGAACAGGATAGCAATAATAACCATTTTAACAGCTTCTGGAATGCAAGGTGGGATTTGACAATGGGAAGCTTAAATGGCAGGAAGTTAACATCAAGCAGACACCCACTGTTCGGAGGGTTTCTAGAGGAATGGCTGCTCAGTCCTGCAGCCTGGTCCTGACTACATCAGTTTTATCTGTCTTAATTCTAAAATTCACCTTTGTAGGGAGAACACAAGGTTGCTGACTGACATGGGGAGCTGCGAGTGTTATGTGATAGGGGAGAACAGGAGCCTTGCTCAGCCCCTCAGGAGCGGGGCCGGTAAGAGAGGGGCAGAATCTCCTCCAGTCTTCCTGGGTCCAGAGCCTGTAGCCTAAAGAGAAGGGGATGGTGTTCGTATGGTCTCTTATATCTTCTGCATCTTCTGGCAAAGAAATGCAGAGATGCTTCTGCTTCCTCTCTGACAACAGGCTCTGTTTGATTTCAAAAAGCCCAAGACACCTTCTGTGGATGGTTGGCAGAAGTAAAGTCTAAGCCCTTCTAGCCAGGCCATGGACACTGCCCCGTAATTGTCCTTGTCCCCCAAATGAGGGAACTGCCTAGTCTGATATTGTTCCTGCCAGTGCCACCAGGCATCGCCCATGCAGAGCACCCAGGGACTTTGGTTTGGCAGAAGTTCTGGGAAGAAACTGTTCAGTGGGGTCCTTCTCCAGGCAGGTCTAAGCCAGCAGAAATCCCACTTCCCTCAGGAATGACCCAAGTAGTCCTTTATTGACTTGCCAAATCCCTCTTTGAACCTGGTTCTTTCTGAAAGAGGGCTCTACCCTGGGGACAATGTCAGGTCCTGACACTGGGCCAATTTTTGTCTTCAGATCTTGTTCCCTCCGAGGGAACAGACCCATCCTTCTTGAGATGTTTGGCCCCTTCCCCCAACTCTTTTTTTCTGAAGTGCAGCTGATGCTGCAAGCACCTTCCTCGCTCCCAAACAGCTCTGCAAGGGCTGGTTTGCCCTCGGAGGCAGCCTGCACAGTCGCTGTGCCAAACTGAATCAAACCCCTGTCTTCAGCTCTGCCGTTCAGGGGCCGTGCAGCAGTTAAGAGACCAGTGCTGCAGAAAGGCAGCTGAAAGAAGCAATCTCCCTGGGTTATTTACAGTTTGCAGTGGATGGAGAACTGTTTAAGAAACCAAGAGGAAGCAGCATAAGATCTGCCTCTTTTCACATACAAATGAGCCTCACAGATCCTAAATTATCTCTCTCCTCCCTGCCGCAGGGCTGGGTATCCACATCTGGCTTGGAGCACGCCCAGATGACAAGGAGCTATTCTGAAAGACTCCCGGTCTTTGGAAGCCTTTGATGCTTAACCTTGGGAGGTCAAAAACACTTATCTCAGATTTCTGAAGGAAGAAGTTCTCACGATGTCAAAAGATGCTGGGCTTGTGGAGAGAGGGCAGGATAGCAAGGTGGGAGGAGGAGTGTTCCCTGTTCAGCTGCGCTAAAGGAAGAGTAAGCTCCTGCCTCTGGGGTGGGTGGAAATGCTGGTTGGGGAGGGCAACCAGGGAGGGCAATGGGTGATATGGATTTGCTCTGCTAGTCAGGATGCTGCTGTGCAAAGCAGTGTGAGATTCCCTCACTCATAGGCTGGACTTGGAACTCAGGCTACGTTTCTTTACAGACATGCCATATGCCTGGGATATAGCACCTCTCTCAAGGGCTCTGGGTGAGCACCAGGTCTTTTCTTCAAAGGGCTCTGACGGTCCTTATTCCTACTCCTTGCTCCCATCACTAAAATGTCTTAAACCAGCAAAGATCAGATCTGCAGCCTCTATAGGGAAGTGGTATTTGGTGAAAGGTGGAGACAGCAATAGGTGCTCCTCAGACACAATCCAGCCAATTTCTTCAGTCTGATGCCACTAGAGTATCAGATAAGGAAATATAAACTTCCTCTGCTTTAGGAGGACACGCACACTCACATGCATATTGGGCCCGCTAGCCCAGTCTGACCTTATGCCCACTCAGCAGCTTTTCAATGGATTTGAATTAAGACTTTGAATTTATATCACAATTAATTGCTGCTAATAAAAAAATGCCACAGATTGTTACTCTGAGCTTGAAACTTGTACTGTCTCTTTGGCAGGCCCCCAGGGAGGTGAGAGTGGAGTCATTTTTAGTGGGTGAAAAGGCTCTGGGGTCACCTCCTCTGTCCTGCTGAGCCTCACAAGTTCTAATGTCTCCACCACCCTATCTTTAGAAAACAGAAGGCACCCGACGCTAGCACCTATGAGCCATGGCAAGAAGAGCCTGTGGACTTACGGAGGAAATATTCTGCTGTATCGGCTTCATAATCTGCATCCTCAGGGAAGTGATCGATTTGCTTACACAGACCTTTAAAATTCCCTAGGGAACAAGAAAAAAAAAGAACAAATGAGAACACCAAAGCTTGCCTTGCAGGAACAGCTGCCCTCTCCATCACCCTTTGTGCCCACCCTGCCTTCCTTCCAGGAAGCATGCCCACTTGTGTGTGGATGCCCATTAAATGCCCAGGTCCTCTTCTTGCACACTCACACATGTATCTCCTTCTTATTTACACAGGAATGTGGGGTTTGCTGTCTGGATCCAGCCTGATGCCCACCTAGTCCAGCACCCCCTCACTTGATGGAGAGAGCACCAGAAGCTCTGTGACTCCTGCTACAGACAGGCAGGAGAGCACTGCCCACCTCTGAGGGAGGTGGGGCAGGAAAAGGAACCAGAGTCTGAGTCATACTGCAAAGTACAAGTGGCAGGGTCCCTTCCCTCAGCATTGACTGGTGTAACTGTGGGTGTTTGTGTTTCACCTGGAGTGGCCTCGGTAGATTCCAGCAGTGCTGTGTCCATCAGGCTGATCCTTTTTGGGTACAAAAGTGTTTGTTTCTTTCAGCTGTGACTTTGCTGCCTTTTCATTTCATGGGCAACATACATCCCTTTGTTCCAGTGTGGTGGGGGAACAAAAGTTCTTAATCTACTTTCTCCATAGGTATGCATACCTTTGCAAGGCCTCCTCTTGTGTCCTGTCACAGACAAAGGCTACAGGAAGCTTGGTGTACATATGCAGCTCAGCAGCAAAACATCCTTTGCATTGGGGGAGCAAAATCTTCCACCAGAAGTGGGGGAAGCTGGGCTGGTCACACTCAGTTCCATCAGGCTGGTGTATGTACAGGGCCTTCTGCTAGCTTTAGTCGTGGGGCACCCTTTTTCACACATTCCATTGCCCCCTTTTTCACACACTCCATGGCCAATAAAGCCATTCCAGCAGGAAGACAGTGACATCTTCCAAGTCTTTTGCTATCTGGGATGTCTACCAGATTCTTAATTTCATCATTGATGTCTCGTCTTGACATCAGGTATACCACTCCAGAGAGGTACTCCTCAAGCCACATCGTAAATTTAATCATGACCACTGCTTGGTTAGTATCTCAAATGATCAGGTTGTCCATGCTTGTACAGGAGTGACCACATGAAAGGCAATTTCAGTATACTTCCTGGGGTTCCCCCAAACTTTTTCTCCTACCTTCTATTCCATTTCCCTCTGAACACTTGGACTGACTGGCCATTAACACAGAACTGATGGACACATTCTGTTCAGAAAGGAGAAATACAGTGTCTGCATGAGGTGCAGATCCCATGGGCCTCCTCACCAGAGGTCAACTACCAAAGTAGCTCAGGCCAATTGATCCCTCAGCAGAAGCGTTTGGAGCCTGAGTCTGGAGAATGGCAAATGCTGTGGCAACCAGGGAAAGCTTCCTGCCGCCCTGATCCTGAGCCCAGCTGCTGAACCAGCTGGGTGTTCAGGGTGAGGGGAGAGTGAAGCCACCACATTTGTGATTGTTGCCTCTGGGAAGGGTTGCTGGTGAGCAACCCAGAGCTCTTCCACGCCAACTCTACCCAGGCTGAGACCTGCCGGCACTATGTCAGGTCCCCAGGTCATACCTTGGAAGTTTTATTCCAGATGAATTTGGATGGTCTTTCACCTATTTATGAATGGCTGGAAGAAGGACCAAGCTCAAAGGATTTCCCCTGAGTTTCTTATGAGGCTAAGCCTGGCTGGATCAATGTTTGGGATGCTCAGTGCTGAGCAAATAGTTGTAGCAGGCAGATAGGTGGGTTCCTCTAGGTCTGCCTTCAGGTTTGGCTTCTTCTGCATGCAGTTGGCTTGTGTCTGATGCCTCCAAGGTACCTATCACCTTTAACTACTAATTCAAACAGCTTCTGTGAAGAGGCTAGAGACAGCAGAGAGGAGTGTGTGTGTGCATTAAGAGGTAAGCAGTAGGAAAAGAAAGTAGGAACAGCGCCTCTCTATGTACCTCTGACGTGCTATTCCCACATTGAATCTGTGAGTTATGAAATAAGGCTGTTAATCACTCATCCCCAATCCAGTTATCTCATTCAAGAAGTGTCTGCTTCTCAGTCATGGCTCTTCTGGAAGGAAAGTTTCATAGCCGAGCAAATTCCCTTGGCACACTCCCACCCTGCTACTTGCCCACTCAAATACCCGTGAGGCAGGCAGATACAGCATGAAGGGGGTCCTTTCCCTGGCTTGCCCCTGACTGCCTGGGGCCAGCAGTTCATCATTCTGGTCCTTTGGTTGTGGTCACTGCTGTACTGTGCACGTGAACACTAGCACTCTTTGGGGCACTGGGGAGGTCTCCAACCTCAGATTTCAGCTCCTTGCTCAGCAGACCCCAAATACTGAGTTTCTCCTGCCCATACATGCTGGGGGAGCAGGCAGAGCCTGCATGTATCTCCCAGGTGATGCTCCCAGCACACAACTGGAGCCTCTTGATTGGAATTAGCCAGGGAGGGAAGAGGCAGTGAATCTGGAAACTCCTTCACTGTCTGCCATCCTTTCCCTGCTTCCTTTTTTCTCCCTCTTCCCTGCTCCGTTTCATGCTGAATTTGAGCCTGATTAATTCCTATGTAAAGAATCAAGCTGCTTGGGGAAGATGCTGCATCTTGTGCAGGTTGTCTTTTATATGGACTTGCGTGGGATAACTAGTTAGAGGTTCAGCTGCCTAGGCAGGGTAAGGGGACATGCAGGCTCCTCAAAAATCTGCTCCCGGTGCTGAGTGTCTCAAAGGCTTTGCTGACCTGCCTCAGCAAGGTGCTTGGCCACTGAGGTGTCCAGCCTTGGCTTGTTTAAAATGTTGTGACATTGTGGAGCTGCCCTTCTCTGCAGGCTGATATGCTGTGCCAGTTTGATCCCCCTCCCTGGTTCAACCCTGCTGGGGTTCATGAAGGCACTGTTGGTCCCGCTTTAGCCCCTGCTTTGTCTGTGCTCAGCACAGAGTGCCGTGGCTCTGGATGCTATTTGCCTGTGCTACCACACCCTCTCCTCCAATGCCTCCTAGCTCCTCTGGGCGATGGATGGGGAACGGATGCAGAATTTAGGTCATTAATGCGCTAACTGGGAATATAAGAGAACAAGATTCAGTTTTTGCTCTGCCACAGGCATGCTGTTAAAACCACTTCTCTCTGCCTCAGAGTCCCACCCTGTGAAATGGGGGTGACAGCACTCCTCTGCCTTGTGCTGTACAGGGACGTGTTAAAGAGGGCATGGTGTGGGTGCGCTGGTGCCAGCGGCTGTGCGAGTACACAGAGTAGGTGAGTGACGGATGGCAGCGGTTCAGAAACCTGCTCTGTGTGGGGAAGGCCTCGATGTCACTTCTTGCGCCAAGGTCACTCGGCAATTCTCTGACGGACATCTGTGGCCTGCTGAGATGGTGCAGCAGCCTCCCTGGCACCTGTGCTGGTAGAAGTGGGGAGGGGGGATGGAGCAGCTCAGCAGTGCTGCTGAGGTCTGACACAACAGCCTTTTGCTGTGCTGCACATGTGGTTTGTGGAGGGAGAGTAAGAGCTGTATGCCACCCTACAGTTATCACTCCTGAACGCCTAAGCAAGAGCAAATCATTATTTGGGAGGGCACGTAGGGCTCTGAGAGCCCCCCAAGGGAGTAAGAGCA